CGTCCGCACCGCCGAGCCGCTCGAGCCGCCCTGTCCGGTAAGAGCAGACGGTCTCTCCCTCTTTGGCTTCACTTCTAGTACCTCTCCTGCCCCTACTGCTGATGCTGACGCCACTGTTCGCTCACAGTGGGCCACACGCAATTCTGCTGCACGTCTTACTGTGCGTCGCCACCTGCCTACCTCTGAGCGTGCGCACTTTAGCCAGTACAAGAGTGCTCAGACCTTGTACGACGCTGTAGTTGCACGCTACTCCTCCCCTGCCACTGCTGCACTGAGCCGCCTCATGCTACCGTACCTCTTCCCTAACCTTGCTGCCTTTCCCACAGTCACTGACCTCATTACACACCTCCGCACTAGTGACACTCGCTACGCGCTGCGCTTCCTGCTGAGTTCTGCGCCAAGAACCCCACCCCCCCATCTACATCACCCTCTACTACATAGTCGCCCGGCTCCCTGACTCCCTCCGCGTACTCAGGGACCACTTCCTCTCTGTTTGCCCCACCACTCTCACCTTTGACCTCCTCGAGAAGGCCCTCCTAGCAACAGAGAAGAGCATAGTCGCTGTAGGAGCCTCTCGTGGTGACCCTCGCACCCCCGTCTTTGAGGGGTGTTCCCCCTCCCCCCTTTTGCCCTCTGTTGCCTCTGCTGCTGCGGCCGACCTCGTTGGTTTCGAGCCGGTCGGCGCTGCGTCTTCCCCGAGCGGGAAATGCCGCACCGGCAAGGGCAAGGGGGGCAAGGGCGCTGGAGGGGCTGGCGGGGGTGGCGGAGGTGGCGGTGGAGGCAGTGGAGGGGGTGGGGGTGGTGGTGGGAGTGGTGGCGGGGGTGGAGGTGTTGGTGGCCGCAGTGGAGGCGGAGGCGGAGGCGGCGGTGGCGGTGGGAGCGGAGGTGGCGGAGGTGGCGGCGGAGGAGGAGGCGGCGGCGGAGGAGGCGGAGCTGGTCGGGGTGGCGCTGCACAGAGGGTCGGCTCCGGTGGTGGTCAGCGCCAGCAGTAGCAGCAGCAGCGCACTCGTGACATCCCCCCCCTCCTATCTCTAGGGGCACCTATCTCTGAGGGCGCCTCTCTCTAGGGACGCCTATCTCTATGGGCACATCTATCTAGGGGCGCCTATCTATAGGGGCGCCTATCTCTAGGGGCGCCTATCTCTAGGGGCGCCAATCTCTAGGGGCGCCTATCTCTATGGGCGCCAATTTCTATGAGCGCCTATCTCTAGGGGCGCCTATCTCTAGGGGCGCCTATCTCTAGGGGCGCCTATCTCTAGGGGCTCCTATATCTATGGGCACCTATCTCTAGGGGCGCTTATCTCTAGGATCGCCTATCTCTAGGGGCGCCTATCTCTAGGGGCGCCTATCTCTATGGGCGCCTATCTCTAGCGGCGCCTATCTCTATTGGCCGCTATCTATAGGGGCGCCTATCTCTAGGGGCGCCTATCTCTAGGGGCGCCTATCTCTAGGGGCGCCTATCTTTAGGGGCTCCTATCTCTAGGGGCACCTATCTCTTGGGGCCCTTATCTTTGGGAGCGCCTATCTCTAGGGGCGCCTATCTCTAGGGGCGCCTATCTCTAGGGGTTCCTATCTCTAGGGGCGCTCATCTCTAGGGGCGCCTATCTCTAGGGGCGCCTATCTCTAGGGGCGCCTATCTCTAGGGGCGCCTTTCTCTAGGGGTGCCTATCTCTATGGGCGCCTCTCTCTAGGGGCGCGTCTCTCTATGGGCGCCTATCTCTATGGGTGCCTATCTCTATGGGCGCTTATCTCTAAGGGCGCCTATCTCTATGAGCTCCTATCTCTAGGGGCTCCTTTCTCTATGGGCGCCTATCTCTAGCGGCGCCTATCTCTAGGGACGCCTATTTATAGGGGCGCCTATCTCTAGGGGCGCCTATTTTTAGGGGCGCCTATCTCTATGGGCGCCTCTCTCTAGGGTCGCCTCTCTCTATGGGCGCATATCTCTATGGGCGCCTATCTCTAAGGGCGCCTATCTCTATGCGCGCCTATCTCTAGGGGCTCCTTTCTCTATAGGTGCCTATCTCTAGGGGCGCCTATCTCTCGGGGCTCCTATCTTTATGGGCGTCTATCTCTAGGAGCGCCTATCTCTTGGGGCGCCTATCTCTAGGGGTGCCTATCTCTAGGGGCACCTATCTCTAGGGGCGTCTATCTCTATGGCGCCTATCTCTACGGGCGCCTATTTGTAGGGGCACCTATCTCTAGGGGCGTCTATCTCTAGGGGCGCCTATCTCTATGGGCGCCTCTCTCTAGGGGCGCCTCTCTCTATGGGCGCCTATCTCTATGGGCGCCTATCTCTATGGGCGCCTATCTCTAAGGGCGCCTATCTCTAGGGGCTCCTTTCTCAATGGGCGCCTATCTCTATGGGGGCCTATCTCTAAGGGCGCCTATCTCTATGAGCGCCTATCTCTAGGGGCTCCTTTCTCTATGGGCGCCTATCTCTAGGGACGCCTATCTCTAGGGGCGGCTATCTCTATGGGCGCCTATTTCTATGATTGCCTATCTCTAGGGGCGCCTATCTCTAGGGGCGCCTATCTCTAGGGGTTCCTATCTCTATGGGCACCTATCTCTAGGAGTGCTTATCTCTAGGATCGCCTGTCTCTAGGGGCGGCTATCTCTAGGGGCGCCTATCTCTATGGGCGCCTATCTCTATGGGCGCCTATCTCTAGGGGCGCCTATCTCTATGGACGCCTATCTCTAGGGGCGCCTATCTCTAGGGGCGCCTATCTCTAGGGGCGCCTATCTCTAAGGGTGCCTATCTCTATGGGCGCCTATCTCTATGGGCGCCTATCTCTATGGGCGCCTATCTCTAGGGGCGCCAATCTCAATGGACGCCTATCTCTAGGGGCGCCTATCTCTAGGGGCGCCTATCTCTAGGGGCGCCTATCTCTAAGGGCGCCTATCTCTATGGGCGCCTATCTCTAGGGGCGCCTATCTCTAGGGGCGCCTATCTGTAGGGGCGCCTATCTCTAGGGGCCCCTATCTCTAGGGGCGCCTAACTCTAAGGGTGCCTATCTCTAGGGGCGCCTATCTCTCCGGGTACCTATCTCTAGGGGCGCCTATCTCAAGAGGCGCCTATCTCCAAGGGCGCCTATCTCTAGGGGCGCCAGTCTCTATGGGCGCCTATCTCTATGAGCGCCTATCACTAGGGGCCCGTATCTCTAGGGGCGCCTATCTCTAGGGGTGTCTATCTCTAAGGGCGCTTATCTCTAGGAGCACCTATCTCTAGGGGCGCCTATCTCAAGGGGCGCCTATCACTGTGGGCGCCTCTCTCTAGGGACGCCTATCTCTAGGTTTGCCTATCTCGAGGGGCGCCTATCTCTAAGGACGCCTATCTCTAGGGGCGCCAATATCTAGGGGCGCCTATCTCTAGGGGCGCCTATCTCTAGGGGCGCCTATCTCTAGGGGCGCCTGTCTCTATGTGCGCCAATCTCTATGGGCGCCTATCTCTAGGGGCGCTTATCCCCAGGAGCGCCTATCTCTAGGGGCGCCTATCTCTATGGGCGCCTATTTCTATGAGCGCCTATCTTTAGGGGTGCCTATCTCTAGGGGCGCCTATCTCTAGGGGCGCCTATCTCTAGGGGCGCCTATCTCTAGGGGCGCCTATCTCTAGGGGCTCCTATCTCTATGGGCACCTATCTTTAGGGGCGCTTATCTCTAGGATCGCCTATCTCTAGGGGTGCCTATCTCGAGGGGTGCCTATCTCTAGGGGCGCCTATCTCTATGGGGGCCTATCTCTATGAGCGCCTATCTCTAGGGGCGCCTATCTCTAGGGGCGCCTATCTCTAGGGGCGCCTATCTTTAGGGGCTCCTATCTCTATGGGCACCTATCTCTAGGGGCGCTTATCTCTAGGAGCGCCTATCTCTAGGGGCACCTATCTCTATGGGCGCCTATCTATAGGGGCGCCTATCTGTAGGGGCGCCAATCTCTAGGGCCGCCTATCTCTAGGGGCGCCTATCTCTAGGGGCGCCTATCTCTAGGGGTGCCTATCTCTAGGGGCGCCTATCTCTAGGGGCGCCTTTCTCTAGTGGCGCCTATCTCTATGGGCGCCTATCACTATGAGCGCCTATCTCAAGGGGCGCCTGTCTCTAGGGGCGCCTATCTCTAGGAGCGCCTATCTCTATGAGCTCCTATCTCTGTGGGTGCCTCTCTCTAGGGACGCCTATCTCTATGGGCACATATATCTAGGGGCGCCTATCTCTAGGGGCGCCTATCTCTAGGGCCGCCTATCTCTATAGGCGCCTATCTCTATGAGCGCCTATCCCTAGGGGCGCCTATCTCTAGGGGCGCCTATCTCTAGGGGCGCTTATCTTTAGAAGCGCCTATCTCTAGGGGCGCCTGTCTCTAGGGGCGCCTATCTCTGTGGGCGCCTATCCCTAGGGGCGCCTATCTCTATGGGCGCCTATCTCTAGGGGCGCCTTTCTCTAGGGGTGCCTATCTCTATGGGCGCCTCTCTGTAGGGGCGCCTCTCTCTATGGGCGCCTATCTCTATGGGTGCCTATCTCTATGGGCGCCTATCTCTAAGGGCGCCTATCTCTATAAGCTCCTATCTCTAGGGGCTCCTTTCTCTATGGGCGCCTATCTCTAGGGGCGCCTATCTCTAGGGGCGCTTATTTATAGGGGCACCTATCTCAAGGGACGCCTATCTCTAGGGGCGCCTATCTCTATAGGCGCCTCTCTCTAGGGGCGCCTCTCTCTATGGGCGCCTATCTCTATGGGCGCTTATCTCTAAGAACGCATATCTCTATGCGCGCCTATCTCTATGGGCGCCTATCTCTAAGGGCGCATATCTCTATGCGCGCCTATCTCTAGGGACGCCTATCTCTAGGGGCGCCTATCTCTATAGGCGCCTCTCTCTAGGGGCGCCTCTCTCTATGGGCGCCTATCTCTATGGGTGCCTATCTCTAGGGGCGTCTATCTCTAGGGGCGCCTATCTCTAGGGGCACCTATCTCTAGGGGTGCCTATCTCTACGGGCACCTATCTCTAGGGGCGTCTATCTCTATGGCGCCTATCTCTAGGGGCGCCTATTTGTAGGGGCGCCTATCTCTAGGGGCGTCTATCTCTAGGGGCGCCTATCTCTATGGGCGCCTCTCTCTAGGGGTGGCTCTCTCTATGGGCGCCTATCTCTAGGGGCGCCTATCTCTAGGGGCGCTTATCTCTAGGAGCGCCTATCTCTATGGGCTCCTATCTCTGTGGGCGCCTCTCTCTAGGGACGCCTATCTCTATGGGCACATATACCTAGGGGCGCCTATCTCTAGGGGCGCCTATCTCAAGGGGCGCCTATCTCTAGGGGCGCCTATCTCTATAGGCGCCTATCTCTATGAGCGCCTATCTCTAGGGGCGCCTATCTCTAGGGGCGCCTATCTTTTGGGGCGTCTATCTCTAGGGACCCTATCTCTATGGGCACCTATCTCTAGGAGCGCCTTTCTCTAGGGGCGCCTATCTCTAGGGGCACCTGTCTCTAGGGGCGCCTATTTCTATGGGTGCCTGTCTCTAGGGGCGCCTGTCTCTATGGGCGCCTATCTCTATGGGCGCCTATCTCTATGGGCGCCTATCTCTATGGGCGCCTATCTCTAGGGGCGCCTATCTATAGGGGAGCCTCTCTATGGGCGCCTCTCTTTAGGGGCGCCTGTTTCTATGGGCCCCTATCTCTTTGGGCGCCTATCTCTATGGGCGCCTATCTCTATGGGCGCTTATCTCTAGGGGCGCCTATCTCTAGGGGCGCCTTTTTCTATGGGCACCTATCTCTAGGGGCGCCTATCTCCATGGGCGCCAATTTCTATGGGCGCCTATCTCTGTGGGCGCCTATCTCTATGGGCGACTATCTATAGGGGCGCCTATCTGTATGGGCGCCAATCTCTAGGGCTGCCTATCTCTAGGGGCGCCCATCTCTAGGGGCGCCTATCTCTAGGGGTGCCTATCTCTAGGGGCGCCTATCTCTAGGGGCGCCTATCTCTAGGGGCGCCTTTCTCTAGGGGCGCCTATCTCTATGGGCGCCTATCTCTATGATCGCCTGTCTCAAGGGGCGCCTATCTCTAGGGGCGCCTATCTCTAGGGGCGCCTATCTCTAGGAGCGCCTATCTTTATGGGCTCCTATCTCTGTGGGCGCCTCTCTCTAGGGACGCCTATCTCTATGGGCACATATACCTAGGGGCGGCTATCTCTAGGGGCGCCTATCTCAAGGGGCGCCTATCTCTAGGGGCGCCTATCTCTAGGGGCGCCTATCTTTTGGGGCGTCTATCTCTAGGGCTCCTATCTCTATGGGCACCTATCTCTAGGAGCGCCTTTCTCTAGGGGCGCCGATCTCTAGGGGCACCTGTCTCTAGGGGCGCCTATCTCTGTGGGCGCCTATCCCTAGGGGCGTCTATCTCTATGGGCGCCTATCTCTAGGGGCGCCTATCTCTAGGGTGCCTATCTCTATAGGCGCCTATCTCTAGGAGCGCCTATCTCTAGAGGTGCCTATCTCTAGGGGCGCCTATCTCTAGGGGCTCCTATCTCTAGGGGTGCCTATCTCTAGGGGCACCTATCTCTAGGGGCGTCTATCTCTATGGCGCCTATCTTTAGGGGCGCCTATTTTTAGGGGCGCCTATCTCTAGGGGCGTCTATCTCTAGGGGCGCCTATCTCTATGGGCGCCTCTCTCTAGGGGTGCCTCTCTCTATGGGCGCCTATCTCTAGGGGCGCCTATCTCTAGGGGCGCCTATCTCTAGGAGCGCCTATCTCTATGGGCTCCTATCTCTGTGGGCGCCTCTCTCTAGGGACGCCTATCTCTATGGGCACATATACCTAGGGGCGCCTATCTCTAGGGGCGCCTATCTCTGTGGGCGCCTATCCCTAGGGGCGTCTATCTCTATGGGCGCCTATCTCTAGGGGCGCCTATCTCTAGGGGCGCCTATCTCTAGGGGCGCCTATCTCTAGGGTGCCTATCTCTATAGGCGCCTATCTCTAGGAGCGCCTATCTCTAGAGGTGCCTATCTCTAGGGGCGCCTATCTCTAGGGGCTCCTATCTCTAGGGGTGCCTATCTCTAGGGGCACCTATCTCTAGGGGCGTCTATCTCTATGGCGCCTATCTTTAGGGGCGCCTATTTTTAGGGGCGCCTATCTCTAGGGGCGTCTATCTCTAGGGGCGCCTATCTCTATGGGCGCCTCTCTCTAGGGGTGCCTCTCTCTATGGGCGCCTATCTCTAGGGGCGCCTATCTCTAGGGGCGCCTATCTCTAGGAGCGCCTATCTCTATGGGCTCCTATCTCTGTGGGCGCCTCTCTCTAGGGACGCCTATCTCTATGGGCACATATACCTAGGGGCGCCTATCTCTAGGGGCGCCTATCTCAAGGGGCGCCTATCTCTAGGGGCGCCTATCTCTATAGGCGCCTATCTCTATGAGCGCCTATCTCTAGGGGCGCCTATCTCTAGGGGCGCCTATCTTTTGGGGCGTCTATCTCTAGGGACCCTATCTCTATGGGCACCTATCTCTAGGAGCGCCTTTCTCTAGGGGCGCCTATCTCTAGGGGCACCTGTCTCTAGGGGCGCCATTTCTATGGGTGCCTGTCTCTAGGGGCGCCTGTCTCTATGGGCGCCTATCTCTATGGGCGCCTATCTCTATGGGCGCCTATCTCTATGGGCGCCTATCTCTAGGGGCGCCTATCTATAGGGGAGCCTCTCTATGGGCGCCTCTCTTTAGGGGCGCCTGTTTCTATGGGCCCCTATCTCTTTGGGCGCCTATCTCTATGGGCGCCTATCTCTATGGGCGCCTATCTCTAGGGGCGCCTATCTCTAGGGGCGCCTATTTCTATGGGCACCTATCTCTAGGGGCGCCTATCTCCATGGGCGCCTATTTCTATGGGCGCCTATCTCTAGGGCCCGGTACCGCCTCAACGACTACTTCAACGCGACCGTCAACTTCCACTTCGGGACCTGCACAGACATCAAGAATCGTTGCCATGGCACGAACAACAGAGTCAAACATCGACTCGTGTATTACCGGCTCTCCACCGACTTACAGTCCTGATGAGCAACCGTCACCACCACCGTCGTCCCTTAACGTGAATCCAACGTACGCCGCCATCGCGAACACTGCACCCACCGGACCAGACACATGGTTCCTCGACAGCTGTTGCGGTCATCACATGTGCTCTTCATCATGATTTCTTCAGCGCGAACGACGTCTTCCGCGAGACGTCATCATCACCATCGCCAACAACGAAAACCTGCGCACCAACAAACAAGGAGTCGTGGAGCTTCAGTCAAACGAAACAAACGTTATCCTCCAACTAAACAAAGTACTCGTCGTCGACAACCTCGACTTCAACTTACTGAGCGTGAGCCAACTCATGTCGAAAGGCGTTCACCTGGAGTGCGACTCCGAGGCCCTGGAAATCCGTCTTTACCACGGAAAAGGGGGGGTCTTCATCGGCCGCGCAATCCAACAAGATGACGTGTTCGTCCTCGATTTCGTCCCTGACAAAGGCACCGCAGACAGCGACGGCATAGTCGCTCTCGCACCTTGGACGCATCCGCCAGACCTCGACCCGAACTTCAGTCCTGAAGGCTTCTGGTACTCTCGTACCATTCCCGAAGCTGAACGCACCAACGCGCTTGCCGTCCTGCAAACACAAGCAAACAACACCTGAGTCAGCACCCGTCATCGAAACAACAACTGCACCCGTCATAGCACCAACAACCACCGAACCTGCAGTTGAAGAACCAACCGTCGTCACGGAACAACCTTCCGAAAATCCACAGCCCGGTCCCTCCGTCGCACCACCACCTCTCATCATCGACACGCCACCGACAGCCGCCCAACAGTTAACGCCAGCACCACGCGCCGTTCATCGAAGTGCAGCAACACACGCCGCCTTTTTCGCTAACGCAGACTTCTATCAACGCTCCGTCGGCCACAGCGCCTCCGAAGACATCTGGCATCAACGTCTTGGACATCCTGGAAACAAAACACTTTACAGCACAATACGAGCCGGAGTGTTAGACAAGAACGCCCTACTTCTTCCCAACGGACGTGAACTCAAACGACCACGCGGCACCTGCTTCATCTGCCCAGAAGCAGATCTGCCTCACCAACCGTTCCCGTCACACCACAATCCGAGCACCCCCGTTTATCAACCACTCGAGAAAGTCTACAGTGACATACTATACATACCTCGAACTGAAGGACGTGAGATCTGAACTACGTCATCACTTTCATCGACGCCGCAACGCGATATGTCTGGCACGTCAACTTACCGTCACGAGACATGGCTCTAGAAGCCTTCACAGCCTGGCTACCTGTCGTTGAAACAGAGTCGGGAGCGAAACTGAAGAGTTTTCAGTCAGATGGCGCAAAGGAGTACCAGTCAAACCACCTCACGCAGTTCTTGGCAGAAAGAGGCATCAAACGCCTCATCTCTCTTCCTTACGCTCACCAACAGCAGGGTGTGGCAGAAAGGATGAACAGGACCCTGCAGACAACCATGCGAAAGCTGCTACGTGGAACTCGACTGCCCAACTCAGAATGGCCAGCAGCGATGGACCACGCTGTCCTCCTGCACAACTTGCTGTCCTCGTCTTCACTGCCCAACAACGCATCTCCGCACCTCTTGTGGACTGGGAAGCTGGGCAACACAAAAATGTTACGAGTTTTTGGGTGTATGGTACAGTACCGCCCACACACTGCACGCGCAGGGAGATTCTCGCAACGTGCACAGTGGGGTCTACACCTCGGGCTGGCAAAACATTACGAAGCCTGGCGAATCTTCGACGTCCACACAAAGGAAACAGTAGCAGCACGTGACGTTATCTTCTACGAGCGACTCACCCTCAACCATTACCTGGACAACATCGCACGCCACGTCGACCCCACCGGCGGATTTTCTGGTTCCCGAGCCTTCGCTTCACCATCCGACGCTGCTGACTGGGAAGAAGAAAACGTCGACGGCGCCTCCGAAGCTGCTGGACCCCTTCCCTACGGCTCAGTCCCAATCCCCATGGACGAGGAAAATCCTCGCGACAGCAACAATGCCGACGTCTACTACCATTTCGCCGACAATGGTTACGTAACACCCCAACCCGTCAACACCGACATCTCTGAACGATACGGCCCCGGATTCGCACCTGATCCTGAAGCGGGAGACGAAGCAGTCTATCCCGAGGATCCCTTGCTGAACCGTCACACCCCCAGCGGACTCCAAGTCCTGGACTCGTCGCTGCAGTGCACGGGCCTTCGTCGCCACCTGAAGAGCCTCGCTCTGTCAAGCAGGCTCTGGGGGGGGGGAACACAAAGAAAAATGGCGCGAAGCCATGGAAAAGGAGTTAAAAGCGCTTTCAGACCGCAACACCTGGAAGATCGTCCCTGCATCACTCGCACAAGACAGACCCATTCTCTCCGGAAAATGGGTATTCCGGATCAAAACCAACTGCGACGGAACCATCGAACGATTTAAAGCTCGATGGGTCGTCCGCGGATTCGACCAAGAGTATGGTCGCGACTTCACTGAAACTTTTGCACCAGTCAGTCGACATACTTCCCTGCGTATACTCCTCGCCATCGCCGCCTCACGTCGCCGCCCACTCCGACAAATCGACGTCGCCAACGCTTTTATGTACGCCCCAGTCGACGCTGAAATCTTCGTCAAACAGCCCCACGGGTTCGTCGACGACCCTTCCCTCGTCTGCCAACTACTTAAATCACTATACGGAATTAAGCAGGCACCGCGACTCTGGCAGCAGTACCTGCACGCACGACTCAACGCATCGGATTCAACCAACTGCCCCATGACCAGGGCATGTATCGCCTCACTCACGACAACGACTACGTCCTGCTAATCGTCTACGTCGACGATTT